CTGGGCATGGTGACACACACCTGCAAGCCTAGCACTTGGGAGGCTGAGGCAGGGGAATCACTGTAAGTTCAAGGCCAGGTTAGGCTACATAGTGAGTTCAAGGCCAGCCTAAGTGGCATAGGCTAACTAAGTGGCCTAGGCTAGCCTCAAACTTGCCATCCTCCTCCTCAGTCTCCAGAACAGCTAGATTACAGGTGTGCACCACCATGCTCATACTATAGAGTTTTATATACATTCATCTGTGCATGTGTCTGTCTTCTGTCCTAGACTGAGGGCTCACCACAGACTGCAGTCTCACCATTCCTGTATCTCCTATTTTGTAAAAGGTCTTATGTGTGGTCAGCACTTAAGAAATACAGTATGTCACACCTAAAAACTTTTAAATATGTCAAAAGTTACTGCAATTTATGACTAACAAATAACTGTAAAACTACTTCAGTAACAGTTTTAATAACTTTGAATAACTAATAGCTTTACTAAGTTTAATAACTAAAACATTAATAACTAACTTTAACAATGAATTCAGATGCATGTGAGCTATATATAAAACTAGTATGGCTGGGGATGTAGCTCAGTGATACAGCACTTGCCTAGCATGCATGAGGCTCTGGGTTTGATCACTATGAGTGCAAAACAAAATATATAACAGTTCAGATTAATTGTGTCACATATTTCAATCCAGATACTCTGAATATGACTTTTATATATTTTTAAATATTTAAAATACTATAAAATAATTTTTTAAAAAATATTTTGAGACAGGTCTTGCTATGTAGTCCAGGATAGACTTGAACTCACTACGAAGCACAGGCTGGCCTCGAACTCTTGGCAATCCTCCTGTGTCAGCTTCCCGAGTGCTGGGACTACAGGCATGTACCACCACGCCTGGCAAAATTTTCTTTTTAATACCAACTTTTGAACATACACAAAAGTAGGTAAGTATAATGAACCTATTATTCAGCATCAACAAATTTCCACTTAAAAAAAAAAATCCTTGTTTCACCTATTTCTCTTAGCCCCACTCTCCCAGATACTCTTTGAAGAGTTGGACTGTTTTAAAGTAAGTCCCAGATATAATGGCATTTCAAACAAATATTTCATTATGTATCTGCAGTTTTAAACACCCCTTTATTGTTTTTGTTTTTTAGACAGCGTCTCACTGTGTAGTTCAGGCTGGCCTTGAGCTCACTATGTAGCCCAGGCTGGCTTCGAATTCACAGTGATACTCTGGCCTCAGCCTCCCAAATGCTGAGATTATAGGCATGTAATACCATGCCTAGTTTATGTCTTTACTATAGCTAATAAAATTAACAGTAATTTCTTAATATAATAACCTATATTCAAATTTCCTTGTTTAAAAAAATGAATTTATATAGCTGGATTGGTAGATGAATGTTTTTTAGCAAACAAAAAATAGCTTTCAGAGATGAAAAGGTAAATCTCTCATGCTCAGTGGCCTCCAACCTAACCAGCTATGTGAAAAAAAAAAAAAAAAATTAGCTTGAAATGTCATTTGCAGACTATTCCCCCAGTCACGATTACATTACTTACTTTTCAAAACCCCCATAACTCTTTTATAAAGAAGCTACAGGTAAAATACCCTAAAAAGCCATGCTAAGGTCCACCTAAGCATGTCCCTCAAAAACAACAGAATAAAAGGAATTACAATGGTGAAGATGATTATTTAACGAAAGAGAAATATGTAAAAGATATTAGGCCAAACGATTTCCCCCTAAAAAGTCAAACCAATGGGACTTAGCTTGAGAGTGGGACTATAGGATGTTAAATTGATGACACTGGAGTTTGCTTTTAAAATCTGTATTTTTCCTGAGTGCAATAAGAACTTGGAGTTTCTGAGAAACATAATGGCAGAAGCCTATAGGGGCAAGTTCAGTTACCTCAGACTTACTCTCTTTCTAATAGTAAGTTCTGATCCATGCTCTGTAGGTCAAGAGTACCGTTCAAATTTCTCTCTGCCTGCTTTTGAATCGTACTTCATCTCTGCCTCCTGCTTGTTGCTGCCCTTCTTGTAACTCATCAAGGGCAGAGATTCCGGTCTCCACACAATGGCCCACCATTCAACCCAATTCTGCTTTGTCCCTCAACATTCACTCCCTCAACTCCTGCTGGGCCTGTTATACTCAGATATGAACTTTCCAGGAACCTGATCATGTCACAGGCCTTTTCCTGTATGACAAGTTCAGTGCTAATCATGAATAGCAGGCTTTACACAGATGGTATTAGTCATGAAGTCCATGACTCCACATCCAGAAAGAGAGCAAAATTTGCCTAAAATAGGCAAGCTGTATCTCTGTTAAATCCATGAGGCTATTACCAAGGTCTTTTGTTGCAAATAGCATAAGTTTTTCCTCAACTATGTTAATGAGACACACCAGAAGCAAAATATTCTGCCAGATGCAAGGTCTAAGGTTCAGCTTGACGAGGAGCCCAGTACTCACAAGGTAAATTGAAGGGCTTTCTAAAGAACTAGAGCTAGACACAGCTCATCCTCCGTCCCACAGACCAAGTACTACTGAGTTTGCATTCCCATCTTCTGCAAGTCTCCCTCCTCACATCAGTTGAGTAAGTAGCAAAGGGCCAGAAGAAAAGAAAACAATACTTAATTTTCCTGTTCTGAGACAGTGAGGGATACCCAGAAAATATTACAAATTAGATATACTTAGTGGCTAGTATTATTTTGCTGTAATTTTCTCTTTTGGAACCCATTTTTAATAACCATATGAATCAGCTCCTACTGGTCCAAATTATATCTTAGAAATGCAAATTGAAGATTATCTTTCTGAATAAAAATGCCCAGAGTGAAATCCCTCTTTACCATCCCCAAGAGAATGACACAGGCTGGTCGTAAAAGACCATCTTTGTGTAGAACAAATGGACCGAGGAAAATCTGCTTTCCTCTCCCTTGCCCCTTTCTTCTTTATACAAGTAGAGCCAAATGAGATGTTTTTTCATTTTAAAAATTTGATTAGGCAGACTGAGCAAAAGCCCATTATTGTAGTCTTTGTAGTTTTCTCAATTTGGGGACTGAATTAAGGCACACTCAGGTTGCAAGGATAGTGAAGCTGGCCTAGCTGCCAGGCAGTGGAGATGCTTGGAAGTTTGAGATAGAAACAAATGCAGGGCCTGCAGCACTGGTCCAGTTGCCCCCCTCTTGTCCCTCACACCTACCCCCTTTTTTGTAGTACTGGAAATCAAACCCAGGGCCTCTGAATTGAGCTATATCCCCAGCTATTTTTAGCTTTTATTTTGTGACAGCGTTTTGCTAAGTCACTAACTGTCTGGGCTGGGCTCAAACTTGTAATCCTCCTGCCTCAGCTGCCTTTTCTTTTCCCTTGAGGCATCAGATTTCAGAGTGCTGCTCTAGGCCTGAGCAAAAAGATCCTAGGTCCCACAGGAACCTCCAAGTCACTCGGTACACACAGGCCTCGTGACCTGAGGAGTGAGATGAGTGGCAGAGCAAAAAGTAGACTTAATAAAGAAAAACATAAGCTAAAAGACTGGTTATGAATGAACTGTCCTTTTCTTCAGCTGTAGGAACCGGACACTCTGTTCCTTCGGCACACTTTAAAATATCTGCTAGGGCTGGGTGCAGCTCAGTGGTAGAGCACTCAGCATGCAAAAGGCCTTCCATTCAATCCCCAGCACTGGAAAAAAAAATTTTTTTTAAGACAAGGACTTGTGATGTAGTCCCGATTGGCCTTGAACTCACTGTGTAGTCCACACTGGCCTTGAACTCATAGCAATGCTCCTGCCTCAGCCTCCCAAATGCTGGGATTACTGGGCACAGGCCACCACGCCAAGCCCTAAAAATATATATATATATATATATATATATTATGAAATCTACACTAATAACTTTTTAATGCAGTCAGTTAAGTTCCATATCCACAGATTCAACCAACCATAAATTAAAAAATACTTGAGAGGGAAAATAAAAAAGCCCTGCATATATAGTGAACCTATATAGACTATTTTTCTTGTCAGTATTCCCTAAACAATACTTTATGACAACTATTTACAGCATTTATAGTCTATTAGGCATTATCAGTAATTAAGACACAACTGAAACCATACAGGAAAATGTGCAAAGGTTCAATGCAAACACTATTCCATTTTACACAAAGGACTTAAGCATCCTCAGATTTTGGTGCCAACGCGGATCCTGGAACAGATCCCTCTCAGATGCCAATAGATAACTGTACTATCAGATTTGATTTTAGTTTCCATTCTTTAAAGCTTTCCTAAAACTTCTCCACAATATGCTCTACCTTGTTTTAAAGTATCTTTTTAAGAGTCCCTCTACCTCACATCCTCTCTGAGGGCCGGGTGTCCTTTCGCCTTTTTATCTTGCACATAATAAGCACTGGATACAAGAGTGAACGAAACTGAAACCAGATCCCCTGATGACACACTGAAGAAACTGGATTGCTTCTTATCATTTAAAATAGTGTCCTTTATGCTAAAAGAACTGGGTAAAAGAACTATCATGGGCTATATGGTATTTAACAAGTTATTTACCAAGTATCACTTTTCATGGGACCTGTTCAAAGTCAAGAATAAATAGGCTTAGTTTCACTGCGTTGAAAGAAGTTCATTCCAAAAAAAGTTTATTCCCAAAACTTCACTTGAAAAAGTATAAAACACATTTTCTCTCCCAACTAGCCTGCTAAGGAGCTGTTGCTCTCCCTTGCTATAAAAGAGTCAGCATGAGGAAATTAACTAAAAGTAGGAATTTCCCTTCCCTTACCCATCACCCACAGGATGGGGTACAGAAGAAATGAGTACTATTCCTATTCAGTACTATTTCAGGTATTCCTGAAAAGCCTTAACAAAAGAACTGAAAATCCTCAAACCAATGGCTTCTCCTTGCACCTACTCGTGAAATCATTGGGCCTGAACTACCTGACCTCTGGCGAAGGACCTCCATAGTGCACTTAGTGCTCAGGTCCTGTAAACCATCAGATAAACATGAGTCTTACTCTGACAAGCAGGAATCTCGCAGTACTTCCAGTACACCCCGTCCTCATGCTCTGCCACGTAGCACCAGGGGCTTACATCTCCATCTGGGTTTCTGTTGGAGACAAGAACACAATCAATGACACTGCTAAGGTTTAATTAAGTAGTTCATTGCTTTTCAGTTTTACAGAACAGGAATTGGTTCAAGTTCGGTGTTATTTCTAATGAGTGGTATGTGTCTCAACAGCACCTCTTATCAAGAAGGAAAACATGGTAATGCTATAAGAACAAATCTTTCCACTCTGACATGTCCTTCAGAGGTTGGGGAGGAGTGAGCAAAGGTGGAAACAAATTCACTATGCTATGATGAGGATCACAAAAACAATCATGCCAGATGTTTGGCCCACAGAATTTGAACATGGAAATTCAGATAGACAAACACAGGTGCTTCCAACACTGCTGATGAGAATGTGAACCAGTACAAACATCCAGTGTGGCAGTGGATAGTAAGAGCCAAAGACCCCCAAAAGATATAAATTCTTTTCTTAGTAATTTCCTCTTTAAGAATTTACTCTAAGGAAATCATTACTTATAAAGATGTCCAACAAAATATTTTTATGATATAAAGATGTTGGAAATAGCAAACACCTAGTAAAAGGACTGATTAAACAAACATGGAATATCCACAAAAGGGACTACTACAGCTAATGGAAATGTGTTGTAAAGGCTCTGTCTTATTAATATGGAAATATTCATAATGTCTTATGGTTTAACATTTTTAAGGTTTATTTTTTAAATTTATTTTTATTAGAACATGTTTATAGGACATAATGATTACATTCATTGTGGGGAGCTGGCACATGATATAACACAAAAAGTATTGTTTTGCTTCTTAAAGGCAGTTATAAAACCATGGATGACACAATCTCATGTTCTGAAAAAATGTATTTAGGGAAGGACATACACTAAATTTTTAAAATTATTTATTTCTAGCTGATGAGATTACTGGCAACTTCAATTTTTTTCTTTCCTGGTATTACTTCCTCAAGTGAATATTCCCACTTGTGTGATTTTTAAAACAATAAAATAGAAAATGGTCATACTTCCAAAACTGTTATACAGATTTAATGCAATTCTGATCAAAATTCCAATAGCATATCTCACAGAATTAGAGAAAACAATCTTAAAATTCACTTGGAACTAGAGGAGACCTACATAGCAAAGGCAATTCTGGGCAACACAGGCAAGGCCAGGGGGCATCATAATCCCTGACTTGAAATAATAGTATAAAGCTATTGTGATAAAAACCGAATAGTACTGGCAAAAGAAACACACCCAAAGATCAGTGGAACAGATCAAAAGATACAGAAACAACTCCAGATATACTTAGCCACCTTATCTATGACAAAGGTGCCAAACACCTTCACTGAAAAAAAGATAGCCTCTTTAATAAATGGTACTGGAAAAACTGGCTCTGCACATGCTGAAGATTAAAACTGGACCCATACACTTTCACCATGCACTAAACTTTCACCATGCACTAAACTAAATTTGAAATGGATCAAAGATCTAAATATTAAAACAGAAACATTACATTTGCTAGAAGATAGAGTAGATAAAATTCTTGAAGATACTGGTGTAGGCAAAGACTTTATGAATAAAACCCCAATTGCACAGGAACTATCACAAAGAATCAAAAACTGGGATCTCATTAAAAAGCTTTTAAACAGCAAAAGAAATCACCAAGAGTACAGATACAACCCACAATGTGGGAAAAAATGTTTGAGGACTGTTTCTCAGACAAAGGATTACTACTGAGAACATACAAAGAACCCAAAAAAATCAGACCTCCCAAAGTGAAAGACCCAACCCAAAAATGGGCATCTGAGATGAATACACACCTCTCAGATAAGAAGTACAAACAGCAAATAAATATATGAAAAAATGTTCAACATCGCTGGTCATTCAAGAGATGCAAATTAAAACAACACTGAGATTCCATCTCACCCCAGAAAAAAATGACTATTATCAAGAAATCAACCAATAATAAATGCTGAAGAGGCTATAGGGAAAAAGGAGCTCTTCTTTACTGTTGGAAGTGTAGACTGGTGCAACCACTGTGGAAATCAGTGTGGAGATTCCTCAAAAAACTAAGATTGGAGGTCCCATTTGATCCACCTATTCCCCTTCTGGGTATCTTCTCAGAAGAATTAAAAACATCATATCACAGCAATATGTGTGCAGCCATGTTTATAGCAGCACAATTTGTAATAGCTAAATCTTGGAAACAACCCAAATGCCCATGAACTGATGAATGGATAAAAAAGATGTGGTCTTTTTATACAATGCAGTACTGCTCAGCCATAAAGAAAGATAAACTTGAGACTTTTATAAGTAAATGGATGCAACTCGAGACCATAAAGTGAAATAGAACAGACACATGTGTAAACATTGTATTGTCTCCTTAATGTGAAACTGAAAGAGTAAATAAGATAAAAAATATACAATAGATATTGTAAAATGGGAAGCAACTGTTCAAAAGAAAAGAGAAACTGGGATGGGGGAATGGAATAAAGAAAGGGAAAAGCAAATATAGATATACATACACACACCAGATATTTAAGATTAAAAAAAGATAGTTAAGATAGTTATACTACTAATTTCTCTTAGTTCACTGAAAAGAAAGGTTTGTGCTAATATTGTTTGGACAATTAAATGCCTATATCTTGTACTCTGAGTAATTTAAAGATAACAATATGCAATGTATTAACTATTGTTTCTCTCCCATTATCTTGTTTTGAAATTGTTTTATTTTTTTCTCTTTAAAATAAAATTCTTTTTAAAAAAGGAAAAAAGAAAACAATGAAGTACAATTCATATAATATATGCCACTGGAAAGCTTTCACCAAGACTGGACTGTCCACTCATGTTTGACAGAAATGGGTCCTACTCCTTCCCAAAACACTGAATCCTCAGAGAACCCTGAAGGAAACCATGCCAGAGTCTAAGTTACAACCTGTAATCTTGTCATCCTGGCATTAACTTTGGATACAGCAATAATATTTTTTAAAAGTTTTGCTTATATCTTCCTAAGTGAGAAGAGCTTACAATAAATACCTTTTAAGATTTTTTTCCAACTCAGAGATGTCATGAATCTAACAGGCAACACTGCTAAAATGGATCAACAAATGGCAGGGGCTACTGAACACACAGAAAAGCCTTGCCTCTCTTCACCACTCTCCAAGTCCCTTTCATTCAGACTCAGAATACTGGAAACCTGATGCTTGGTTAGGCCGGAAATGGGCATAAAGACCGAGCCGTGGAGAGTTTGGGAGCAAACCCTATCAGGCATGAGAAGGAGAAGCTTATTGTGTGGCCTAAAAGATAAGCTTCCCCAGAGTACAAAGGGTTCTTTTATTTCTTGTGCCCAAAGCCAGGTGGCAGTGCCAACTCTGCTCTTCCCCAGTCTCTGCCTTCTTTTCTGATCCAGATACCTCAAGCACAGCTCAGAGAAGGGCGTTCCCATCACTCGCAACTCAGACATATCAGATGCGATGGGTTTGAAAAGCTGCACAAAACAAACATGGTGTCGGATGGCAGCTGAGAAATCAGAGTAGGAGTACTTGCACAAAGCCCTTCTTTAAACAGTATTTCATTGTCATTTTCCTCTTCTATTCAGCGTTCAGCTTTGATGTAGTATTGGGTAAAGCCCTTAGAAAACAACTGTTTATTATCAATGTCAAAGCCATTCTAAAAAGCATCAGAATAGCTTCATAAAGAGCAAGCAAATTCATCCTTACTTCACTGCAGTGCTAAAACAAAAAGACTGGACTCTGATGTGATAATAATCAACAATTTCAGCCTCCCTTTCTGAAGTATGAACTGGAAATTCAGGTCTGGTACATTCCATTGAATCAAAGGAGAGTTTTTGCAGCCAGTCAGGACTAAGGAGAAAGGTGCTCCTGCCCCTTGCTGCTCTCTTAATGAATATTTACTGGTATGTTTCTGGGAGCCTGTGAGCACACATAAGTGCTATTAGGGAAAAAATAAGAGAAAAATATCTGTGTAAAGCTAAAAAAACAAACACTCTTTTCTCTGTCTAAACATTTTACCCAACTCAACCATTCCCATGAATAGAAAAGTTAGGGTAAAGTAATATACCAGATTTAGAATAGGGCTAATTTTTTATTTATGCAAAAAATTAATGTGTACAACTTTGAAAATAAAAAAGAATTGCTTAATGAGCATTTGTAACTTCAATAATAAAATACAAAAGGGGAAGTAGCACATATAAAATGATGGGACTTGGTTTGGAGTTTTTCAGGAAAGAGATAAATGGGAGACTTCATTTAAGCAATGTCTGAGAGTTTGAGAAATTTTTGTAACAAGCATATAATAACAATTTTTAAAATACAGTAACAACAACTATGGGGCAATGGTCAGTTGATAAAAGATAGGACAGAGGTAAAGGAAGGAGGTGAAGATGCAAGGATAAAGAAAACACAGCCTGCAGGCCTGGTGACTTTAAGTCAACCACGAGGGCCCGCAAGTGTTAGCAGAGGTATGTGGAGGGCAGAAGGTAAACAAAATAGACCACGCAGTGCAAGAATATATGTGTTGGGTCAGCTGGGTCAACAGAGCCATATGGTTAAGATGTCAGTGTACCACCAGAACCTGGGATACAGCACGGAGCTCAGAATGGAGCTCAGCAATAGTTTTTCCCCATCCTAATGGCTCAAGCTTTTGCATCTGTCCCAATAATAATTCAGTTCAACACATTGCTAAAGTACAAGTCATGTTACCAGGATCTTGGGTGTAAATAGCTAAAAGATATAACCAAAGGTGCTTAGAATTTTTGTTTTTATTCCTATATATCAGTGATTCTTAACTTGTTTTTGATCACAGATAACTTTTAGTAAAAGGCAAAAGACTTATTGGATCTGAAGAGAAACCAGAGTACAGATAACTTTTAGAATCTGATTAAAGCCACAGATAATATCAAGGAAATCATGAATATACATTTGAAAAATCAAGACCTCCTAGAAGTCAAGTACATTTGTGAGCGCATGTAGTCCCAGCTGAGGAGGCAGAGGCAGGAAAATCCATGACTCTGAGGTCAGCCTGGGCTATATAGTGAACTCAAGGCCAGCCTCAATTACACAGTCAGACCTTGTCTCCAAAACAAAATAATGCCTGCCGGGCGTAGGGGCGCACACCTGTAATCCCAGCACTTTTGAGGCTGAGGGAGGAGAATCATTTCGGGTTTGAGACCAGCCTGGGCTACAAAGTGAGCTCAAGACCAGCCTGAACTGCATAGCAAGACCCTGTCTCAAAAAGACAAAACAAACAAACAAACAAAAAACAAAATAACAAACAACAAGCAAACAAAAAGCCCCTGCTAAAGTCAGTCACCTCCTTTCTGGTTTTTTTGTTTGGTTTTAGTTTTGGTTTTGGTTTTGGTTTTTTGAGACAGGGTCTCATTATGTAGTTCAGGCTGGCCTTGAGTTAACTTTTTAGCTCAGACTAGCCTCAAATTCATGGATTCTCCTGCCTCAGCCTCCCAAGGGCTGGGATTCCAGGCATGTGCCACCATGCCCAGGTGTCACCTCCTTTCTGAAAGAGACAGGTAAATGATCAGAGAAGGCAGAAATGTTAACAATAAGGCAGTTGAAAGAAAGCAATAGCTTGTGGGAGGGAGGGAAGGAGAGAGAGAGAATTTTTAAACTAGTGTCAAGAAAAGCTTTTTGAGTTGGCTGAAAAGAGATAAGGAAGGCCTCTCTATTCATGAGCAAGGTTGGAAGGAGTTGGAAGAGATCACAGATTTTAACTACTATGGCCCCATCTTACCTGCAATAGTTATGTTCGCCCAGGCCACCCTCCCCATTGGGGTATTTCAGAGTGTTGTATGGATGCTGGAAAGTCTCGTTCCAGAATAAACATGGCTTCCCGCCTTGCAGTGCTGTCCAGTTCTGAGTTCCCCTGTAATCTGCACCATTGGCTGTGAAACACTCTAGGAGAAAGAAAAGACAGAGCATACTAATTTTCTGGCAACATTGGAAGTCTCCTCCCTCTCTGGTTGATGATTTATGTTTTGTTTGGACCAAGCTGGATTGGATAGTATCTTGCTAGATGCTGGACACCATGCAGTTAACAGTGCTGGGGCTGTGTGAATCTAGAAGGCCCTGAAAATGCAAGACTAATCTTGGCACTAGCTTGTAGGAATAACAGGACATTTCCCCCTAAAGTTTACAGATCCTAACTAGGATATAAACAGGGAGCCTAATGTATTGAAGCGCATGAAGTGAACCAGGGAACCCCCAAATCTGGGAACAGTTGGTAACAGCCATGCATGTGGAATTCTGGGTACTCGGAGGGGGTCACTGCTCTTGCCAGTGTCTCTGTGTGGTAACTAGAACCAGGTCAGCAGCTGTAACTGAGCTCTCCCCTACAGTCTGAAAAGCTGCACTGACACTTGGATTTAATAAGACCATTGGATACAGCAATGCTTTGGAATCCCAATCACAGAAATCTGGGAATGACTCACATTCCCTGGTAATGAGGAACAGTCCTCCCCATGCTGTCTGAAATAGAGGTGCAACAAAACAGGCAGTGAATCCCAGGGAGCAAGGACATGGGCAGCTTTTCTCTCACCCCTTTCTGAAATTCTTTCCTGTAGGATGCACTGAAAATGGTCCCAGGTCCCATTTCATAAGATGACAAATCCTTGCAGGTATAATCACGTGCTCTTAAAATCTGCTTTTCAGACTTTGGGGGGATGGGCACTGAGGCTGACAGGCTTTCCCCCACATATTGTATGCATTAAACTCACAGAGGTTCATGAAAAAGGCATAGTACAAAGAGAAATTTTTTAAAATTAGCTTAGTTGAAATTGACAGAAGCACTTCAAACACTTCTTTAAGATGTATCATTAGAAACCTGACAGTCTGGGGGAGTCAGACTAATAGTCTTAGCTTTATTTCTTTCCTTCTCCTGGCACACGGTGACCTATAACTTTTGGTACTGAGTATTCTAACACTATTTCCCACTGGAGAGTGTATGTGCCTACTCTAGCTTAATAGGCTTGTGGATAATACAAACATGTTTATCCTGGAAGGTATTTCTTTAAATATTTAAAAACTAGCCAGAGAATATCTCTCTTCCAGCATACCCTTCTTCCCACCATCCAGGCCCCATGTTTTGTCTGTAATGGCACTGTTTTCTGGAATTCTAGGCTATACAGAAAACCCTAGTGATTAAAAAAATCATCTTTGGTGCAATACTCATATTACAATAGGGGCAACTCATCGTGTACCGTGATGATGCTCCACCAAGGGTCTACATAAAATATGTCAAAAGTAAATAAAGGAGGCAGCTCAGCACAGCATGACATACACTAAACCAAGAGACTGGGCCTTGGCCTCTATTCCTGCACTTGCTGCTGACCAGCTGTGTGACTTTGAGCAAATCATCATCATGGCATCATTTCTAATATTTACACAGTGTTTTACTGTGTGCCAAATCTTGTCCTAAGAGCTTTACAAATGTTGACTCACCACCAATCCACAAGAAACGTACCCTTAAATATGTCTTACAAAGGAGGCAACCAGGGCACTAGACCACATCCTATGTCTAACAGAACCCATCAGTGTGATCCTTACACACCCTGCCCTCCTCCACCCCATTAGTATGTCCTGTTGACTCTAAATATATACCCTGAAACTGCCTTTCCCTCGCCATCTTCAGAGCCAAAGTTTGAGTCCCATTTATCATCAGAGAACAGTTCAGGTCCCACAGTTCCTCCTTTTGTTCTACGATCCACTCTCCAAAGAGAATTCAAAGATATGAATGAAGAGAACAAAAACACTCAAAACAAAACTCAGACTCCTCATGGGCGTTTGTGAGGCCTCCTCCTCTTTCTTCCCACGGTACCTGGTCTACTTTTAATTCTGTGAGCACACCATGCTATTTCATGCCCACATGTTCTTCCTCTAATACTTTCCACTGCAGATTAAGTCTTACCGCCTCTGAAAAGCCATCCTATCTTTTCCACCCTTCCTTTTCTCCCCTTTGTCTACTACAGAGCACTTACTATCACTAGAAATATATGATCAGCCTTCTATATCTAGAGGCTCCTCATCCACCAATTCAACAAATTATGGATAGAACATATTTGGGAAAATAATTGTATTGAACATGTGCAGACATTGTTCCATGTTATTATTCCCTAAGCAATATCATATAACAAGTATTTATACAGCATTTCATTGAATCAGGTATAAGTAATCTAGATATGATTTAAAGTACATGGGAGAGGGCCAAGGATTTAGTTCAGTGGCACAGCGTCTGCCTGGCAAGTGTGAGGTCCTGAGTTCAATTCCCAGTAACCAAATAAACAAATAAATAAATTAAAGTATATGGGAGGATATGTATAGGTTACATACAAATACTATGGCATTTTATATAAGGGACTTGAGAATATCAGCTGAATTTAGTGTCCCTGGGGTCCTGGAACAAATACCCGTGGGATACTAAGGAAAGACCATTTATTGAGAGAAAGAGAGAGAGAGGAAGAGAGAGAAGGAGAGAGGGAGAAAAAGAAAATGAATATGAATGTGTATAGTAGGTACCACATTAGAACCCTATCCCAGTCGCAAGGCTGGTGTCTTGGTTACTTTTCTCTCCTTGCTGAGACAATATACCCAACACTCCAAATTAAGGAAGGAAAGGTTTATTTAGCTCACAGTTTGTGGAGGTTTCAGTCCATACTGGGCTGACTCCAAGGCAGGGTGGCATGGCACACAGGCAACAGTTTAAGAAGGTGATAAAGACAGCAAAGCAGCAAGAGCAAAAGCCGGGAGGGGAAGCAAGCCTCTTGTCCTCCCTTACACTGTATGCTTGCTCTCCTCAGGCTCAGGCCCTCTGCTGAGTTAAGCTTCTAAACTTCTCAAGTTGATACAATGTATCAACCATTACACCTGGAAATCCAAACTAGAATGGGACATGAGAACATGTATTTCTAAAAAGCTGCCCAGGTGGTTCTGTTTTATTACCAGGTTTGGAAGTCATTAGACTAGATGTTTGTCTTATTTTTTGGTGGTGGTAAGGAGCAAACCCAGGGCCTTGTGCATGGCAGACAAGAGCTCTGTCCTTGAGCCATATCCCTAGCCTTAGACTAGACAATTCTAAGAACATGAAGCAAACCTTTGCCAATTGCTAGAATTTTAATTGTTACGTGTTAGTACATTCTGTTGGTTCTTACACATCAAAACATCAGGTTATACGCTTTAATTATAATATAATAAAAAATGAATTTTAGAAGAAAATGGTAAGGAGTGACCCAGGTGCCAAAAATGCAGGCCAATCAATGCACAGCCTTGGCAATACACAGCAACACGTTCCCAGAGGCTCAGATGACTTGATTTGTAATACAAAAGAATGTGGCAGCCGTCCACACATATGCCAGTCCTCATGAATGGGGATGAAATGTCATCTGAGAGCAGGAATGGGAAAGAGCAGGCTTGTTTGTTTCAGTCTGCTCCTCAGACCTAATCTTATTCTCAGTTCCACTGGGGAAACTGAGGCAGTGTATCAGATTTTAATGATATTATGTTTACTTACCAAACTTGCCAGTACATATCAATTGTGGAGAAAAGGCAAGAAAAACAAATGCTGTGATAAGCCAGGCGTGGTGGTGCACATCTATAATCCCAACACTTGGGAGGCTGCAGCAGGAGGATTGTTGCGAGTTCGAGACCAGCCTGGGCGACAAAATGAGCTCAAAGCCAGTCAGAACTACATAGCAAGACCCTGTCTCAAAAACGACCAAAAAAAAAAAAAATGCTGTGATGATGAACCTATGATATGTGTGCCACAGAGAGCACATACAGCCCTCTAGACAATGAGGTCATGAATTATATGAGTTGTTTTTTCTAAACTAAAACCTCAGTATTCAGGTTTAATTGCAGTTTGCAGTGTTGGCACTTTGCAATAAATAAGAGTTTTGGGTTGCTGTTTGGGCACTGGGTCTTTAAACGGTTTGCCATCACTGAAATAGAGTATTCTGGATTAAAGTTATTTGAGCATCTTGAATACATCAGATCACTTACTAGGTAATAAGGACCCTGCCTCTCTCATTTTCTAATGCTATGAAACTGCCATAAGCTTTGTCTACCTAAGTATGAACTGGCTAGAACTATAAGGAAAAAAAAAATCATATGGCCCCCTTGTATAGTCACATATTCAGTGAAAGAGAATAAGTGAAGGTATAATCCTAATGTGTAGCCTACTATTCATTAATTAATCAAATATTTATTTAGTACTTTGCATGTGCTGACTCTTCACAGCACTGGGACCGCAGTGATGAAAAAAGACCCTGAACAGTATTCATCGAGCTCACATGCTGACAGGATATCTGAGCAAAGATTAGAGGACGGGAGGACGCAAACCCAGTAAAAAAGCTGGGAAGAGTGTTACTGGAGAAGGACATAGCAAAGAAAAATGCTTGGCAGGTTTGAGGAACTGTAAAGCTGCTCCTCTTACCTGACTGGTGGGGGCTAGTATGTAAGGAGGGGCAGGCAAGAAAGGCCAGCATAGGAAGGGTCTTTTGAGTTGTGTAAACAGGATTTTGGCTTTTGCTTCTAAGTATAAAGGGAAGCCACTTGTAAGGGTTTTTGTTTTGCTTTATTCTTCTGGAGCTTGTGGATAGAACCCAGGGCCTCACGCTTGGGAGACAAGTGGTCTGCCACTGAGCTATACTCCCAGCCCTCTGGAAGGGTCTGAGCAGAGAAATGGCATGATTTGACTTATCTGAGGGTGTTCTGTTTTGGGGTTTTTTTTGTTGTTGTTGTTTAACTGTTTTGGTGGTACTGAGGATTGCACTGAGGTGTATCTCCAGTCCTTATAAAAATATTTTACATAGATAACAGTCTAGATTTTGGGAAGAGGAACTACAGAGAGACAAATATTAGGCCAAGACGACCAGTTAGAGGGTCACCAGAGAAAGACAGGTAG